CGATACACACCAGTGGTGCTATCTTTCTGACTTTGCACGGACTTTTCAAACCGCCTTCGTATATTTCCAAAGTTTTATATTTAGCTTTTGTTTAGCTTATATTTAGCTTTTGAAAATATAATACAAGCAAAATAATAGTATCGGCGACTTTGCTATAATAATTTCAATGTTAAAAGTATAATATTAATCTATTTCATTTAAATATTTTTTGTTACGATTTAAGAAAAAAAGTTTTCTTTTAGAAACATTTTGTTTCTTTACGTATTCGTATTCCTGAAATCATTAGGTCAGATGAAAAAATACCAAACATATAATTTTAATAAATAATTAATATTATTTATTGTTTATATTTGTGGTTCCATTTTTTAATATTTTTTATAACTTTGGATATTAAAAATAAGGAAATATAAAGAAGATAGTTAGAAAACTACAAATAAATAATTTAATGACTTAACATTATCAATAATGTAGTCATTATTATTTAAATACGCAATGTGCAAAAGAAAATCGTAAGAATTTTATTTTCAAGTGAAAAATCTGTTTTTGATTTTATATAGAAACAAATCAAAGATATATGAATTATGGGTTTTTATTTCTTTAATTATCTAAATAGATCATGTTTTTATCGATATTAATTAAGCGCAATATTTAATTTCTGAAGATATATATAATATGATGTCTTTTTAAGAAACCTATATCGGTGATTTTTCTCTATATTTTTAATTTTAGGATTGACAAATCTTCTTTGTAATATATAAAATTTCAAATGCTTTTTTAAACATGTAATCTTTTAATATATATATATATATATTAATTTTAAGCGAATTATTTATTTATTAACAAAATTGAAACGCAATTATTTCTGTGTAATTAGCATATAATTAATACCATACAGTAGGTACGATAAATGACAATAAATGTAACATGAATGTCGTTATTACGATAATAATGCGATAATATGGTTTCGCGTTTCCTGAACACAGTTTTGTCTAGTCAATATTGAGGGTGGTCGGTATATAACCATGGGATAAATCCAATCCCTGATATTACACGTAGACACGTGTATAGAGAAATGCATACAACACCAGTAACGAGCGAATAGCGAATAAACATTGTGGGTACACGACGAGAACGCTGTTAAATAATCACGTTAATTGTAGTGGATTCTCTGCTCTCTGTAATGCAACTGCAATAGCCTGCAATAGTACGCCTGTTCTACTCTGTAAACGATATCAACCATGCCACTTAACGAAATTATCTAATTCTTGCATGCGATGACTAATTGACATTTTATTTTTGAACAACTTTAAATGTACATTTTTAGAGAAAAATAAAGATTACCTATTATGAAACTATATATAACTGTAATATATATAACTGTATTATTTTATAAAAAACAGAATCTTATTTTTTGTAATTGAAAAATTTTTTTAAATTCAGAGAATTTTTAAATAGACTTTTTCATGGGCGCGCGCGCGCGAGTGTGTATGATGAATGTATGTGTGTTTAAACATAAAAGTTTATTTCACAATAATATTTATTACAATAATTGTTATAATATTCGATGTTATAATATTCGATCAATTATATATCTATGAAATTCTTTTATCTGGTGTAAAATGATTTTTTTTCTTCTAATGATTCAGCTTTTAATGTGATGCGGAAATTTATGTTTAAAACTTTGACGTGAAATGCGAAAATGTACGTAGCCTTAAATACGCATATAAATTTCAAGATGGGAAAGGAAAGAAAAAAAGCGGGGCGAAGGAGGGAAAGAGAGATGAAAACGGAAAAGGAAAGAGAGAGAGAGAGA